CAGGTTTCGTTCGAGCTTTCCCAAGCTTATAAAGAAGGAAAGGAAAAATGGGAAAACAGGCCAGACATGAATATGGGCAGAGGGAAAGAAGGCGCTCAGATGTCGCCATCTCTTATGTGACGCTGTTCACAGTTGCCCAAAGTCCTAAGTGCCCTCAGCAGCTGACCCCACCTGGTACTGGAGCTTTGTGACCATGCCGGAAGGAAGGGGAGGGAGAGCTGCCTGCTGAGGAGCTGGGAGCCCCACCCCTTGAGTATCATCTGTATCCCTCATGTCTCTCCAGGAATCAGACAGATACAAATAAAGGCTTCTGGCAGCTCTTGCACACTAGCTGAGAGCAGGTTGTCTTGTTAGGAAAAATATTTCTTTCAGGATGGTATATGGAGTTCATGCAGGCAGTGACTATTCCAAAACAGAACCCTTAGGTCAGGCCCAGAGCCTTTTTCCTATTTAGGATGTGACCCAGATCCTGGGAGCTGTTTCCTTTTGGTATGTATGAAGCTCAAATTGGCCTGCAGTGACCTGAGATCTGCCTGCCCTGACTTAGTGAAGAATCGGCCTTAGAAATTATCCCAACTCTTTCTTCCCACTTGTAACTTGCAAGTTCCCTGTATGGTTGTGGTTGCACTAAAGCATGTGAGGTGGAGGGGCCAGATGGGTCTTGGCCAGCTAGTCTGACCCCAGTGGTTATACTTTGACTTTCCGAACCAGTGTCTGACAGTTATCCTTAGATCTGCTCTCCTACAGGCTCTCCTCCTGGGCCCTGCCATTAGTTGACGAGAGAGGAAGGGCCCGGGGGATGAGGGGGAGGTTCTGTATTTGTCACAGGGTTATAGCCACTGCCCAGGCCTCCTCCACTGTTACTCCCTTTGATACTTAGTTTATCACTACCATCTGGTAAATCTGGAAATAGCCCCTCTGCTCAGGACAGAAAATCAAAAGTGCTGATTTTGTTGGTTTATTTTTTAAAATTTCCTATGGCATTTTGAGGTTATGGGCTAGGAATGTTAGGCATATTTTGGCATTTGGTGAGTTTTGCGTATTTGCCGAGTATCCTCTGAGTGCTGCCTTCCCTTTGGGAAAACTGAACGTCCATGGGGACCCGGCCCTAAGGGAACATCTGCAGTGCGTTTCCTTGCACTGCGCTTCCGTGAGTCCTGGCTTACGTGGGTGTCGACTGGTGGGCCTGGTGGGACGGGAACAGTAGTGAGTGGCTCTACTCCTTCACCTCAGTTGTTACAGTAAAGTCTCCAGTGGGGCACTTCTTACAGTTTTCCTGGCCCAAAGCATCCTTTCTCTGGGGGACTGATGTGGGAATGATCTGAGTAGTTCTGAGTGCTTCTGGTTTCTTTTTTGTTGATTGTGGCCAAGCCCAGAATTAAATCAATATTTGCCTTCCCCAAAGCCCCAGATTCTGGGCTTGGGCTGCCAGGTTCTGTTGCTTGATGATCCATTAGTCTGCAGAGCTTGTAAAAACTCCAGAGAAATAACACTGGGAGGAGGACAGAATGTCATTCCAAATGCCAGATCCTCTGCTCTAAGACGTTTTCATGAAGTTCTGCATCCTTCATCTCGAAAATTATAATGAGGGGGATATTATGGTGAAGACTCCCAAAGGGGAGAGCAGGACTCTTTATGGAAAGAATAGGACTCTATGGAAACGTACCTTCCTTTTCTTCTCTTCATGTCATAAGTCTAGGGACAGCATGGTAGTCTTCTGAGTTAATGCTGTTCTCCTTGGATTCAGACCTTTGCTCCACTACTCACTAGCTGTGTGACTTTGGGAAGCTTACTTAATGTCCCTGAACTTCAGTTACCTCATTTGCAAACTATTACTTACCTCATGGAATTTTTTTTAAAGCTGGCTAAGCTAACTCCATATTCCTCTAGAACACCTTCCTTGAATCCCCTGGGTGGGCTAAATTGCCCTTTTATGTGCTCCCATAGTCTCACACACATGGCTAAGTCATAATACTTGAGCCATTACATGGAAATGACTCCTGCACAGGCCTGTCTCTCCCATGACTAGCCCACGGCTCCTTAAGAGAAGAGCGAGTTCTGCTCTGCTTTGTTTCCCAAGGTTCTAGTAGAATCCTGGCAAACAGTATGCATTACCCACTGAAAACAGACACCCCTTCTTGCGTGTTTTCCTACTTGAGTGTGTTCACTCCACCTGAAGTGGCTTGGATCTGAATTGATAAGTGTTGTTTGCTTTCCCTGAAGTGATAGTTTTTATTCTATTTTTCTTCTCCCATCTCAAAGAAATACTGGTTGTTATCCCATATTTATGGAGTTCCCCAACACATTATACTGGGGCAGTGTCTCACATTGATTTCCTTTTCTCATCTTTCTGTTGCAGGGCAGTTGTCAGAGATGCATGATGGTAAGGAAGGAACCAGATGTATTCGAGTCAGGGGACCCGTACCGTCTCATCTGTATTGTGTTGGGTCTCTATGAGGAGAAAGAGAAAGAGAGGATAGGAAGACGGATGTTTGAAAACGATGACGCAGCGCAGTTAGAGCCTGTGCTCCCCAGGGGCCAGGGGGTCCAGTTTGGAGAATGTTGAGAGGCATCCGCCCGCCATGTTCCCTGCCTCCAGTCCCAGGTCCACCAGTTGCCTACATCTCTGTTTGGCTGTCAGGAATTTTTTTCAAACTCTTCTGGGACCTTCTAACTTGATCCAATGTGGACTGGATCTTTTTTGCTATTACCTGGAGTCCACATATTTTCAGATGCCCTAGTCCAGCATCACAGCTTACACTTTGGGGCCCTTGAGCTCAGTGTTGAAGAATGGAGCAGGGATGTTTAAAATGACACTCCCAAGGTCACGAAGACCAGGGTGGGCCGGCAGTGCACAGGGCACAGGTGAGCCCAAGGATTCAGGCTCAGACCGTGTCATTATACATTTACCTGAATGTGTAAATGAACATGCCCTGGCTCTTACTTTTCAGTAAAGATTCTCTAGTAAATTTGAAAGATGCTAAAAAAGATCTTGGTAATTCCGGCAGATGCACCAAGACTTTATTCTATGACTAGCTGGATTCATAAAAAGTTCTTTCTAATGATATTACAAAGAGGTTCAGAACATTGTACACAGTAGAAGTGCCAGGCTTCCAGAACATTTTCCGCACAACCTGTCATGCCACAGAAGTTACTTAATCGATAGTCCCACTCCTTTCCTTTAGTCCTGCGTTATGGAGATTCTAGGCTTTGCCTGATAGACCACCTGTCCTCCAAACTGTGTTGGTAGAACACTGCGTGTCAAAACCCAGGTTACCTCTTAGAGCTTAGAATGTCACAGAGGTCAGTCACCTGCCCTGGCCAGGATACAAGGCTCTTCATGAGCTGATCCCACCACTGTTTCTGCCTCTTCTCTGCCTCTTCAAGTCCACTCCCACTTGAAGATCCAGATTGCCATTCCGTGTCGCTGTACCTTAGCCAGTGCTGCTCCCCTACCTGGAACTCTCTTCCCATCTGTCTTTGTCACGTAACTGCTGTTTATAATCCAGAGCAAATGGATACAACACATCTGCACAAGAACGTGCACAATTGGTGGTGAAAATGTCAGTGGACATCGGCTATACTGCTAAACTCATCATTTCCGAATACCGTCATGCACTAGGCTCCAGTGGAGGAGCAAGATAACGCGCGTGGCACACAGGAGCTTTGTGGATATGCATGTGATTTCATCCCGTATTCACCATACCCCTGGGAGATGGGTGTTGTCCTCATTTACAGGTCAGGAAATGAGCTCTCAGGAATTACGTTGTTTTCCCAGCTTCCTTCAGCTGGTCACTGGTGGAGTCAGGTGTCTAACTTGGATTTGTCTGACTCTAAACCCGTGTGCTACATCATATTAAAGTGGTAGGCCTCCTCTGGTCAAATTTGGGGCAATAACGTACATCAGAAAGAAGAATGATGGTAATGAGGGGACAGGGAGATGGCTCTAGATTGAGGGAGACTCGAGACGTAGTAGTCAAATACAACATTTAAGTTTTTCAAAATCCATTAGTCCATAGTGGTACTCAAAAAAATACAGAAAGGGAAAAGTTCTTTCTTGCAAAAGAATGATGGCAGAGAAGGAATGATCAGATTTTAAAAATCACCTTTTTGTGACTTCAGTGTAATAATTGACTGAGCAAAGATCATCAGTGGACACTAAAACCAGTGGATGGAAGGATGCTGACAGTCCTGTGGTTTCTATGTATCACCCCACAGATTACTTATTAATTACAAAGGGGAAAATGTCTCTCTACAACAGAGAGAGCTGGAGGGGCACCCCCTGAACCAAGCAGTTGAGCCTGATCACCAGGAACAGGCAGCCTGACCGTGCTCCTCCTGCCTGAGTGCGGGGGAGGGCACAGCATCGCCATGTGGTGTTCTTGTTAAACAGAAGTGTTTCTTTACCGTGAGTCTCATCATGAGGAGACAGACAAAGCCACAGTGTGAGAAGGTCTGCGAAACAGCTAGCCTGGGCACTGTAGTGGATCAGGCACATGCAGTGCACGAACCCTGACGGGGTCCTGGATCATCGGGGAAAGCTGCTTTAGAGGGGCTTAGTTCTGATTAGAAGAGCTTCCTTGGGTCCCAACCCCCTTTACCCCCCCCAGTCGCCACCGCTGTTAGGCTGTCTCTCCCTTCAGTCTGCCGGGGTTCGGGGGTGATAAGGGAGAGTGAGCACACCTGTCCTGGACGGTGGACGCGCAGGCTCTTTGTTCCTCCTACTTAGTGAAGGTCTGCAACTCTCACACCAGGGTCCTTTCTAGGCCTCTGCCAAATCCGTGACCTGGTTGACCTTAGTCTGCCCCTTGGCTGGCTCCCTGGCCTTCATGGAAGGGCTGTCCCTCCTTCTTTTAAAATGAGTGGTGGCTGCTGTGGACACTTGGATATTCCTTTCACTGGTGCCTCTTCCCTCCCTGCACCTCCTCTGTCGTCCACACGGCCTGTGTTCAGTTCCCATCATTTGTCATCAGAACGTTGCTTCTCTGCTTGTCTTGCAGATTCAAGAGTGAATGGCCTAGAGGAGCCCAGCATTGCCAAGAGGCTGAGGGGCACTCCTGAAAGGATTGAGTTGGAAAACTACCGCCTGTCTGTGAAACAGGCAGAGGAGCTGGAGGAGGTACCTGAGGAGACACAGGCTGAGCACAACCTGAGCAGTGTGCTGGACAAGGGCACAGAGGAGGACGTGGCCAGCAGGTCAGCCTGTGCCTGGGAGCTGTGGCCCCTGTTTGCCTGTGTGCTACAGCGGGCTGTGGCTTGCCCTGATGACTTGCCCTAGTAGTGCCCTGCTAGGAGAAGGCAACAGAGCACCTGGTTGGCAGTGTGGAATCTGAGCCAGACTGTCTGGGTTTGAATCTTGGCTGTGCCACCTCCCAGCTGGAGGCAACTTCTCTATGCCTCCGTTTCCTCATCTGTGAAATGGAAGCAGTGCCGGTACCTTCCCCACAGAATTGGTGTGAGAGTTAAATGAGATACATATGAATTGTTTAAAAAAGTACTCGGCACATGTAAGGTCTTATAGGTTGTGGCTGCCTTCATTATGACTTTGTGTGGTGCTGGACCATTTACAGAGGACTCTGTATCCGTCAACTCACTTGGTCATCCTATCAGGAATCTTGCAAAGTAGGCAAGAGCATATATCTTGTCACCTTATAGGTAAGGACACTGATGGTGGCTAAAGACTGACTAAGATTCAAACTCAAGTTTTCTGGTTCAAGTCCAGGATTCTTCCTGTTTTCCCCGCTTCCTGGTGACCCATTCTCCCTTGTTCACTGAGGTCCTCTCTTCATCTTGTTGGCCGGTAAGGATCACAGTCCATTTATGGACTTAATTCAGAGATTCAGTGAGTGTTTACTGAACAGCTGTCATGTCCTTAACACTTTGCTATTCATGGAAATAATAATTAAAAAAACCAGCAGTCCCAGGTTCTGCCCTCAGGTCACTGTTCACAGATTTATTGGAGGGAAGAGACTTCCACAGGGAAACAGCAGTAACCTGCAGCAGGTGCTGCTAGGGGGCGGGTGGTTCCGTGGAAGGAGCACCACGGTGGAACTAGGGCTCCTGCTGAGACTCAGCCTGTGTTCACTGTGCAGTCTTGAGGAGCCACCTCAGCTCTCCAGGCTTCTTTTTTTCTTCTGTGTAAAGAGAGGAGTGAAGGACTCGTTTCCCAGGGGCCGCACACAGCAGTATGCGGTTTTATGCCGATCCCGGTGTTTCCATGGTGTTTGAGCGAGTGGTGCCTTTGGGGGACATAGATGCTCCAGTCCCCACAAGACTCCCTTCATCTGCTGTCTTGCTCAGGGCCGTGTTTTCAGGCCTGTCCAGGCGTGCCAGTGTCAGTACAGAAGAATTCAAAGGGGTCAGGAGAAGATTATCAAGGGGGCCAGAAGAGAACAGATCAGAAAGACAGGTGAAGTCAGTACTGGCCAGACTCTCCTTTGGGGCTTCTAGGGCAGAGCACTTGCCGTGACCCTGGACTGGTGCAGGCTTTGGACTGACGTGGGGAGCGTTTGAGTCGCACACTGGGGGCTTCTCTGTAGCGAGGAGTAAGGGAATGTGTGGGGATAAGGAAAGCAGAGCTTTTTTTTTTTTTTTTTATGAGGAAGATCAGCCCTGAGCTAACATCTGCCAATCCTCCTCTTTTTTTTGCTGAGGAAGACTGGCCCTGGGCTAACATCCGTGCCCATCTTCCTCTACTTTATATGGGATGCCGCCACAGCACAGCTTGACGAGTGGTGCGTCGGTGTGTGCCCGGGATCTGAACCCGCGCCGCCAGCAGCAGAGCGCGCACACTTAACCGCTACACCACGGGGCCAGCCCCAGAGCTTTTTTTTTAAGTTCCAAGAATGTCTTCCAGAAGGTGTTTGCTGGCAGAGCTCCTTTCAGCCACATTCCACCCCTCAGCCCAGGGGTCAGACACGCTCTGGGTCCCCTGCTCCCTGGGCCGGCCTCACAGACAGCTCTTCCATGCATTCCAGGGCCGGCTCTGAAGCCACCACTGTGTGCACGTCATTGTCACGTGACCCTGTGTCTCTACCCAGAGCACCCCAGAGATGCACCACTCCCTGCCATGTTCAGATGAGGCACAGCCCACTCACGCCGTGGGGGTGGGATCCTATAGCCAAAGCAGAGCTGGTGGCTGGACCTCGAGGTGAGTGTGGGTCAGACTGTGTTCCTGCAGTAATAACCTTTCCTCCACCATAATTTGTAAACTGTAAAAGATGGTGGGGCAGCAAGTTGAGATAATGTAGCACAGGCCTTCCAGGAAGGCGAGCCCTGCTATTTTATAACAGGGTGCCGTAGGAAGGTAGGACAGAAGCATAGGAAATCAGCATCAAATAGTACTGGAATTGCCCCCATCTTACTTAAATTCAGGTTTTTAAAAGAAAACTAGCGTTAGCTGCTATGCAGAATAAAAACGGTCTCTTAAAAGTGGAGAATCCAGGGGCCAGCCTGGTGGCGTAGTGGTTAAGTTTGCGCACTCCGCTTTGGCTCTGGGTTCGCAGGTTCGAATCCCGGGCATGGACTGACACACCACTTGTCAAGCCATGCTGTGGCAGTGTCCCATACACAAAATAGAGGAAGATTGGCACGGATGTTAGCTCAGAGCCAATGTTCCTCAGCAAAAAAAAAAGTGGAGAGTCCAAAGCAGGAGCTACAGATGTTGTCTTATTTCCCCAGAGAAACTGTAAGATAGAAAAGTGTCATGTATTTTTTGCATCTTCCCTATGCACCAAGCAGAAGTAGGGGCATTTTCAGCCCTCAGTGCTTCCTCAATGAGATGTTAGACTTGAAGATGAGAAATGACAGAGTTTTAAGGAATTAACCAGTTTGACCCAGGAACTCACCTTTGACTGAAAGTTGAAAGGACTCACAGCCGAGGTGTCTGCTGGGAGGCAGTGCAGGTGATATTCCCGAGCTGGACTTGGGAGCCAGCTCACCTGCACCTGGAGCCTGGCTCCGCCACCTACTAGTTGTGGGCAAGTTTCTTAACCTCTCTGGGCCTCAGTTTCCTCATCTGCAAAGGACATGCACCTCAGGTGTGTTGTGAGGATTAAATCAAACAAGGCAACTGGCACAGCGATTGGTGCCCAGTGAGCACAGAATCGCAGCCGCCCGTAGGATTGTGACTACGTTACCTTGTAGCTCTAGGCTCAAGACAGGTGCCCCTCATTGGAGGGGCAGGCCTGCAGTTCTCCTATTGGTTTCCTTAAACAGGTGGATGAGGTGCCAGACATTGGGTTTGACTCAGACTCACCTTGCCCTGAGGTAGTGGTGATCAGACTTTGCCTGCATCAAGATCTCCCGAGGGCTTGTTAAAGCCCTAGCCGCTGGGCTGTGTCTGCTTCAGTCTGGGGTGGAGCCCAAGATTTGCATTTCTGAACAGTTCCCAGCTGATGCTGTGGTCTGGAGACCACACTTTGAGAACCACTGCTCTCAATTTCCCAAATTTCCCTGATAATAAACACTATCTAGCACACTTGGTACAAAGCTAGTCCCTGGGCCCTCCCCTGTGGCAGCTGATTCAGTGGATTTGGGTGGAGACCAGGAATATCTGTTTCTAACAGACACCCTAAATGATTCTTTTTTTTTTTTTTTCAGTTTTTTTTTTTTTAAGGAAGATTGGCCCTGAGCTAACATCTGTTGTCAATCTTCCTCTTTCTTTCCCTATTTCTCCCCAAAGCCCTAGTACATAGTTGTATATCTTAGTGGTAAGTCGTTCTAGTTCTTCTGTGTGTGATGCCGCCCCAGCAGGGCTTGATGAGTGGTGCCTGGGTCCACGCCCAGGATCTGAACTGGCGAGTCCCAGGCCGCCAAAGCAGAGCGTGCGAACCCCGACACTATGCCATTGGGCTGGCCCCAGCCTGGGTGATTCTTATCATCGGCTTCCTGGGTCAGCTCACGTGAGCAGAGACTCCTGGTCCAAGCCTAGTGAGCTGCATGACCCTTCCACGGGGGGCGTGGGGGGTTGTCTTCCAAAGGAGACTCTGGAAATAGCACTTTTATTTTCTCTGGGAGAGACGCGGTAGCCAAGGACGGGAGGAAGCTGGCTGTTTTTAGCTTTGTTCTCTCTGAGTGCCTGTCTGGGAGACTTCGCCCCTGGCCGTGAGGCTGGCTCATGTGGGCCTGTCTGCTGAGTCCTGCAGTGCTGGCACATTCTTGGCTCTAAGAACAAGTCAGTGAGGGCTGGAGCCAGCAGGTGCGTTTCCCAGATGGGACAACCAAGGTTACTGAGTACTCCCCAGAAGTCCAAGACAGGCCACCCCCAGGGGCTTCCCTCTGTCGGAGTGACACCACGAGGAAAGCCCTCCTTCAAGGCTGACTGAAGAAGTGGGAGTCCTGGCTGTCCCCTTTCCCCGCCTCCCTCCTCCCACAGAGGCAGTCACACAAGCAGGTCATTGCCTAGCAGGGAGCAGGTTATAGCGCGGATTACGCCCACTGTGTGAAGGTTGCAGACGGTGTGCATCTCCTCCAGAAGTCTGCCTGGCAGTGGAGTGTTTACACGGTTGTCAGGGTAGGTGGCATCTAGGAGTGGCTGAGCAGGACAGAAGATTGCGCCATCTCTGATTCTGAGTGGATTAATTTAAGAGTAAAAGCCGAGATTCCTCATTTTCCCTTGAAAACCACAGGAACTTCAAGTGATCCTCCACTCAGCAGCCTGCCTTGTTCATGGTAGGGCCCGCCCGAAAATCTCCACTTTCTGAGGTTAGACCCAGGCAGCCGGCATGATCTTCTTCCTGGGTTTGCCGCCCTGATAGCTGCTGATGGCTGAGGAACTGTCGGGTCCTGGAGAACCACCCCCCGGGGGCACGGCGTGACCTGGCGTGGTCGCTGGTGGGAATCCTGACTTCTCGCACAAATGATCCAACCTCCTTAAGCTTCCACTTCCTCACTGTAAGGATGGGGTGACAGGAGTGCCGTGTCCTGGGTTGTCTGTAGTTAGGTGAGCTAGTCCGTGTGAAGTGTCTCATGCTGTGCGGCACGCCATCAGGGCTCGACAGGCGTTCGCCGTCGCTGCTGATGTCGTCATCCTTGGATCTGCCTCCTGGCCCAGCAGAACCTCTGTGTAGCTGGTTTAAGTCTGGAGCAAACTTTGTCTTTTTAGACTCTAGCCCATGTGCCATTGGTTTTGCCTCTTCCTACCAGGGCCCCTCATGGCCTCAATGAGAAGACGACACCTGAGAGAAAATTCGGGGCAGGTGCTTTGAGATGAGTAATTGGGTATAAATTGCAGCAGGGAGGATTTTTGCTAGATGTTATTCATTATTCTAACTGAAAGGCTCAGCGCCTTCTGATGGACACCCTGCCAAGGGGCTTCAGAGGGATCATCTCTGACACCTGGGAACTGAAGCGGCACCTGCCCTGGCTTCCCTGGCGTGGTGCCTGTACGCTCTTGCCGTCTTGGCTGTGCTGGGACCACGGTGAGATGAGCAGACCTGACCCTGCTGTCAGAGGGAGTGTGGCCCAGGGGAGGCCGACCCACATCAGAAAGTCACAGGGAACAACATGTTGTTACATATGCACAGATCCCTGCTGAGACAGAGAGCAGAAAGCTGATCCTGCCAACTAGATTTCCTGGCCCTCATCTCTCCTGGAAGGCTGTATGCTGAGAGGTCATCCTCTCCTCCCAAAAGGGCAGAGAAGTTGGGTGTGTATATTGTGTTTTGTTCTGCTGTGGTGATTCTCCCCACTTGAAAAGTTTCCAGGCTATATTCCGAGGGGGGTCTGCCTCACTGTAGACTCCTTCCTCCGCTGCACCCTTCCTCCAGCCTCCTCAAAGGCTAGGCCCAGAAATTCAGGCACTGGGAGCAGCCAGAGAATGTGAAATGAGCCTTGAGGTGCTGAATTTACAGTGCAAGTCTTGCAGGACGTAAGGGGCCGGGCCAGACCCAGAGGCTGCTCTGAGTTCCCAGGGAAATGATGGCCTGGAAAGGAGCAGCTGGCAACACCTGTCAGTTTCTCTGTCCTTCCCAAAGGGAGGGAGGCCGGTTTGCCTGTCTCAGATTTCCAGAAACACGTGGCAAGACCTCTAAGGAATGGACTGAGAGCTTGTAGCTCATGAACAGAGGTGAGGGTTCACCTCGCCACCCTGCTTTTTACGATCTCTGCCTCTTGCTGTTCTCCGTGGCCCTTGAGCTGTCACAAAGTGAACCACTGTGGCCCTCAGAGCTGTAAGTGGGGCCTCATTGCCCACGTTATGCGCAGTGCAGCCGTCCTCATGACGTGGTGCGGGACCAGGAACCGGGCTGTGCTGAGGCCCCCTCTCCCGGTAAGCTGCGTCGCGATCCCCGTCTGCCCACTGATACTGTGGTGACCTGTGTGCTTGGCTATGAAGGAAGGACAAGCTGGCTTTCCTCTGCCCACCTGGAAGGTTTGTACATTTAGGTAAGATTTAAGATGAGCATAGGAGGCATTGTTATCCTTATTTCATGTTCAAAAGGTGTTAAATGACATAGATTGGGTTACACCTTGTTGTTAATTAATAAGAAAGTAAACAAATGAAATTACAAAGGTAAGGCAAAAATAATCCCTAAGTAAACACTGAAAAGTAATCAAAATCCAGATGCCAGGCTTTCCACGGTCCAAATTCTTGTTTGCCACTTTAAACTGCCTTCTTTCGTTAGGCAACCCTCCATCCCACTCGTTATGTTCTGCCTTATTTTATCGTGGTGTGTTTGCATCTTCTCTCCCCTTGAGAATATGAATCTTTTCTATGTCACCTTTGTGTTTCCTACAGTGTCTAGGAAGCGCATTATAATAGAAGATGCTCAGTAAATTTTAGTTGGGTGAATGAGTGAAGTAGGATTCATCAAACTGAGCTGCTTGCAGTAAGGAGCTGGCTCTTTTTATTTCTGTGTCTGTTTGCTGAGCTTTAGTAGGTGCTCAGAAATGTTTATTGAGTGAATGAATGAACGAACGTGTAAATGAGTCAACAGGTAAATGAATAGCTAGAGTCCCAGAGTGTGACACAAGCATGATAAAAATCGATAAAATCCCTGATCTTCACAACATGCCCACAAGGCAGGCATTTACATGACCTCCTTATGATGAGGACACTGAGGCTCAGAGAGCATAGATAATCAGCTCAGGGTCACACAGCTGGTAAGTAGCAGAGCCAGGGTGGCACTTTGAGGAATTGGCCACCTGAGAAGTAGAAGGGATTACAGCCACAAGATCACCCTCACTTCTGACCCACCTGAAGTGTGGGAGTGATACTGAACCTCTTAATCTCAAGTTCGTGTGCCTGATGCACAGTAAGCCAATCACTGAGACATTGGGGCTTGGAGATGGATACCGGTTTATTCAACTTGGCCACAATTGGGCAACCAGATTTCTGGGTGTCAGCGACAGCTGGGGGCTGGTTATCTGGTGTTCATAACTTCCTTAAGGGCATTCTTTTCTTCTGCAAAACAAGCTCATAAATCCTTGTGACCCTTGAGCCACCCCTCAGGTTAAACACGAAGACAGCAAATTAACACAATTAACTTCTTTTCGTCTGTGTCTGTGTTGGGAATGGAGATTGAAGGGTAATCGTGTTCCTATTGAATATTTGCAGTAACTCTTAGGTACCCGGCTTCAGGAATTTCCAAAACCACCCTCAGGTTTGCTGATTTGCCACAGACTCACAGAACTGACTGAAAGGTGTTATACTCAGGGTTATGGTTTAAGTACGGGGAAAGGATACCAATTGAAATCAGCAAGTGAAGACGTGCACAGGGCAGAGTCCAAGAAAGTACAGAGGTGGAGCTCCATTGTCCTCTCCCCGTGGAGTCAAGACAGCATTACTTTCTTGGTATTAATGTGTGATGATAACCACGGATAATCTCTCACCCAAGTCTTGGTGTTCAGAGTTTATTTTGGGGCTCTGTTACCTAGACAATGATTGATTGATTGATTGATTGTCCATGTGGTTGTGGTTGATCTCAGTTTCCAGGTCAGCTGATACTGCATGACCCGAAGCCCCCACCCTAAATGGTTGGTCTTTCTGACGTGGCTAGCCCTCACCCTAAATCGCATTGTTCGACTACCCACCATGACCCAAGGCCCCCAGGGAGACAAAGACATTCCCATCAGGCAGGGCATTCCAAGGACTCAGCCTTTACGTCCCAGAAGCCAAGGACCAAGGCCAGACCTCTCTTTGAGCAAGGTTAAATTCTTTACTACACAGGCACTAGCAGCACTGGTCTTGGGCATCCTTGTCCTCGTGGCACTGTGTTCACTGGTTCTCTCTCTCACACACAACCCCGCTCTGGTGAGGAGAGAGCACCCACCATCACAGGAGGTCAGGACTGGACGCCACCCAATGCCGGCTGCTTCTGGGGTTTGAGCCTGCATCATGCCAGAGGTTGGACTGTGCTTTATGGAAGCCAGATTTCCTCCAGCCCAGTCAGCTACACGTTTCTCTGAGGGCAAAGCCTCTCCTGAGAAAGACTCCAGGAATTATCAGACCGTGAACCAGGTCTGGGAAACTTCTCCATTTGTGCAATGATGTTTGGGGTTTTTCTCCTGCCTTGGAGCCCCACAGCATTTCAGAGCACCGAGTTTCATTCATGTACTGCCTGTTGTACTGCTTCTCTCTGCAGGGCAGGGGAAGGAGGGTAAAATGCTGCAGGGTGGTAGCCTGGCGGGGGGACATCCACGTCATTGGCTGGCATAAGTCGTGGCCAGTGTCTTCTCGCATGTAGTGCTGCTTCCCATTTCAAGCTGACCAGGCTGTGTGCTGTGAAGGGAACAGTGGTGGGAAATGCAGCTGTTATCGAGACTGACGACCCCAGGCTGGATAGTTGTCCCCTGCCTTTCCCTATGGTCCCTGTCCTGTCACTTTGCAGTGAGCCAGGCCTTTGCTGCCACACTCCCTGTGTATCCCCAGAGCATCCAGCTTGGGGGACTCAAGGAACACCGTGAAATTGCACGTGCACCTCCCTCCAGCACAAGCACCTTGACTGCCCGCCAGTCTGTGGCTAAGACTTCAGTGCAGGCCTCTTGATGGTGTTCCTCCTTCCCCGCCATGCTTCTCACGAGAGCCTTCCGACCTGCCTGCATCAAGTAGAATTGAGTTCCTCAGACGAAACAGTGGGGCCCGAGGAGTGGAGACTTGCTCTCCGTTCTCCCTTCCCAGGGCTGAGTTTCTGTCAGACTGAGGGCCTCTGGAGACCGAACTCCGCCATGGTGCTATCCACCAAATAGGGCACCCCAGCCGGCTGGCTGTTGGCGCGCAGCTTCACGTCGGGATGGCACGTGTGTGTGTGTGTCCCTCTTGCCCTCCTTCGCTCTCTCTCCATCGCCTCGTGTGTCTTACCTGGGCAGGAGCACACTGGGCCCCCTGCCGAGTCCTCTCCCTTCCTGCACAGCAGGTGCTTGGCCGGATACTTGGCCTCTGACTGTGGCTTTCAACCATCGCCTTCTCAGTGTCTGTCAGTGCCTCACTTTGGCCGTGTGGTTGTTTTCCCCACAGCAGTTCTGAGTCTGAGATGGAGGAGGAGGAGGAGGAGCCTCCGCTGCCCACCTCGGACCTGGGCGGCGTTCCTTGGAAGGAGGCTGTGAGGATCCATGCTCTTCTGAAAGGGAAGAGTGAAGAGGAACTAGAGGCCTTGAAGAGCTATGAGCCTGGGAATGAAGAGGAGGAGGAGGAGTCTGAAGAGGAGGAGGAGGAAGAATATGAGGAGGAGGAGGAAGAGTCTAGTGAAGGTCAGAAAAAAATCTCTTCTCCTACCCCTGACCCCACCCCGTCCCTGAGGCAGCCTGTTCCATGCCTGAGTGTGAGAGGTGTCTGTGGCTGGAGCCACACGGACGTGCCTCCCACAGAGCCCAGAGACATCCCTCCTGCCTCTCTCTGACCCTAGACGCAGAGGGCAGGGGAGACCAACGGCAGTGCAAGTCATGTCCCTCGTGCACATTCTGAGTAGAAATGGGATATGGAAGGCAGAGGGCCAGTGCGAGGACTTCATCCAGATTAGGTTTCTTATTCTCCTCTCTTTCTCATTTTCTCTCTTTTTTTCCCTTTAGTTTCAGTTAAGAAATTTATTTTAATAAAGAAAGGTAATTTAGCTTTCTAGAGAATTCCCCAACTCCTAGTCCTGCATATTGGAGGCTGCAGAGTGTTGAATCTCATATCGCTCAGAGCTGTCGTCACTGAGGAGGGAGCTGTGAGCTAGGCGCCCACTGGACAGGGTTCAGTCAGTGATATAGGAACACGTGTGGACCAGTGCCTGAGAAGAACATCGGTTCCAGTATTAAGTCGGTCTGGTTGGCTCTGAAATGCTCTCTTGCCTTGGACTCAAGATGTTTCAATTCTGACCCTGTCTCTAGCTCTGTGTGTCCTTGAATGGTGAGGAAGGACTTGATGGGCCTGCTTCTTGTGCCTGTGTAGAAAGAAGGTCATTCTTTCCGTGTCCTGGCTGCACAGAAGTCTGGGTGGTAAAGTGGGTGATAAGGACGAAACCAGGAGTTCCCAGGGAGAGACCTGAGTCCCCCTGAGGATGGTGCCCCGCTCCCTCTCCAGGGGCCACGGAGTGGAGGAGAAGGACGTGGGCCTTGTAAGCACCTGTTCCTCCCAGCTGTTAGTCAGAGTAGCAGGTTAAGTTCTAGACAGCCCAGGCCTCGGCGAGTTGGCACTAGGTTGCTCTGCTGCTCTCTGTGCTTGTCTCTGCTCTTCCTGGAATTCGATGTGCTCAGCTGCCCAGTCCCATCCCAGGGTCTGTTTTCTCTGGTACAGCAGGGACTGAGCGTGGCTCTGTGACACCAGCCCTGACAAGGCAGAGCAGGCCAGGAGAAAGCAGGCCTCCACTGACCCAGTGGTGCCGCATCAGTGTGAAGGGTCAGAGGCGGGCACTTACGCAGGCCCTTGGGCAGCTTCTGAAGACCCAAGACGGAGCCTGGCGTGGGGCCCCCAGAGGCAGCACTCGGTGGCCTGCCCCTCCCTCCTCACTCTGTTTTATGAGAAATGAGTAAGGTCTGTGCAGAAAAGAAGCAGGCACTGGACTGGGAATCTGGCACCTTGGTTCTTTTCTCCATCCTGCTGTCTACAGAGCCATGGCTGGCTGTGGCTGCCTCCGCCGGCCTGCCTGTCAGGGGTGATCCAGCTCACAGCTCACCCTGGGGAAAGGGAGATAGTTTGTATCGTTCCAGACATCATTGTCTCCATGTGATGATTCATGTGCTCAGTGGCTTAGAGCCTCAGACAGAGTGCAGGGTCAAAGCCTGTTCCCTTTTCAGGAGAGATTAGCTCTGCTTTCCCTCGTGCTGACCTGTTTCCTGGCCGTAGAACTAGCCTCAAGACGAAACCTGCAAGGGAACAGGCTTTAACTAAAGAAACTTAGACTGACAAATTCAGCCAAACCCTGGGCCTCTATTCCTAGCCCATGGTGTGGTCTTTTGGGCAGTGGACTTCGATGCCTCTGTAGACAGTGGCAGGGTGTTATTGCCTTGCAGCTGAAGATAACTTCTTTCTATTCTCTTTCCTCCCTCCATTCTCTTTCCTCCTCCATCCCCACGCGGGATTCTTGGTGCTGTGTTTGTGGGTGTCTGGCTCCCCCTGCTGTAGAAGGGGAGTATTGCCCCTTGGACAGAGAACTCCTGCAAGGCCAGTGGCTCCGGCATCTGTCAGAAGAAGAAGATACGGGTACATGTAAAGGTACCTGCTCTGCCCCTTGCCCACCTTCTACCCTGACTCCCTAGCAGCCATCCAGAATTTTCCTCCAAGAGCAGGTCCCACATGAAAAGATCTGTGTATTATAAAGCTACGCTGGCAGGCTTTGGCACATACCTGGCTGGGCCCCGCCTTCATGGACAGTCATGTACAAAGCATGTGAGACAGAGAGGTTCTGGAGGAGACCTGGAGGAGAGAGGTCTGGGAAGACCCGATAAGCAGGCTACTGAATGTGACCCTAGCCATACCCGGTGTATGTTTTGCTGTAAGTTCCCCTCATCCAGTTGAGACTCGGCTTCTTCTCTAATGCAGAAGACCTCACATCATAGTTCAGCTCTCAAAAGTGGTGGAGCCAGCACAGGTGCCCGGAGCCTCCCTCCGCTGTGCCTTTTAACATTTCTCTGAGAAAGGAGGAGATGCTGGCTGATAAGTCTCCAAGGCTGCATTTATTACAGGAAGCAGAACGTTACCCAGGGAGAAGACTCCCTCCCTTCCGTTTGTTGCTCAGAAGGTGAGAAAGGGCCCATTTCTCTTTGACTTATCTTCCTCAGTCCTGAGACATTTGGTGTGTTTGGTGACTTTGCTGTGATTCAGCCCCATCCAGCACCATAAAGGCCAACCGACCTTAGAAAAAGTCCCCGACAGGCCGGCCCCGTGGCTTAGCGGTTAAGTGCTCGAGCTCCGCTACTGGTGGCCTGGGTTCGGATCCCGGGCGCACACCGACGCACCGCTTCTCCGGCCATGCTGAGGCCGCGTCCCACATACAGCAACTACAAGGATGTGCAGCTATGACACACAACTATCTACTGGGGCTTTGGGGAGAAAAAGGAAAGAAAAAAAAGAAAACGTCCCTGACTCTACAGAGCCCAGCAGCTCCAGTCAGGAGCACACGAGGGACGTTGCCGCACGCATCACAGAGCACAGTGTTGCATCCACATTCGTGGTCTCGCTGGTCTGTCCGCCCATATTCACATTCCCTGTTGCTTGAAAGTTAAGAGGTTGTCGTTGTAGTGATGAAGCCAAAGCCAGCTTCTCCAGTCAGACTGTGGAGAGCAGGCTCCTGTCAGGGGCCCCGAGTCCTTAAGATCAGGTGGCACCTGCCCTTGCTGCCTAAAAAGCCACCCTCGCTCCCTTAGTGTCCCCTCCCCCTGAGTTGCTGGCTGTCCCTTTATTTTAACCCGACAGAACGCCTCGGTCCAAGCACTAATGATAGTGTGTCCGCACGGCAGGGGCTGCATGCAGATTCCCTGGGTTCTGACAGCAAGAATAATCTGAAGGGGCCACTAGTGAGTTCTCCTTTAGCTGAGAAACCAGTTCCTGCGTCCAGAGGGGCTCAGCAGGGCACCAAATGGAGTTTTAAGGAAAAGGGCTTTGACCTCAGAAAGAGCAGAGGTATTGTCTTATTCCTACCCATGAACTCCCAAAGCTCTGGGAGTTTATAGGCTAGAGCTCTGCTTCCTCTCCCAGCCATTGCCTCCCCTCCTCCATCCTCTCCCCAGAGCTGTGTCCCTGCCACAGGCCAGCATGCAGCATGAGACTATAAGGGGAGGGGGACTTTTTTATATCTAGCTGCAGAAGGTAAAGACCCAAGTACCAACAAAGTAAATTTCTGTCGTGTATGAGTTGGCTGGTTTGTGGCAGAGTGACACTGCCATCCCACTTCCTTCTTGTCACATGGCTTAAATCTGAAAAGAGAAGCTGTCAACTTGGCAGGTGGTGGTAAGCACTGTACTAGGTGACCAGCAGAAGGGACGTGAATGGTGCATCCTCAGAGAGCTCACGCTGTGCTGGGTAACAGAGCCGGGTACTCGTGTCCTCTGCAGGGATGGCCCTTCAGAAGCCAGTTGTGACCTGCCTTTTTTTTTTTCCTAACATGGCACGTGGGTCCTTCAAATGCAGTTAAGATGGAAAGAGCATCAGAAAGGAAAGTTTTTTCTGCATTGGAGTTGGAATGTATGATTCTCTTCGTTGAAATTAACATTATATGTGAAGCTTGAAATGGTGAATCAAGTTGAACAAGTAGAAGTCGCTGGTGTGTGTGTGTGCATATTCTCAATTTCTGCCTCTTTCTGATTCAAACTGATCCTGGCAAATACTGTAACATTTGTTTCTGTTTCCTTTCCTGTGGTTTTTCACACCCTCCTTCCTTTGACTGTTTATTTTTTCCTTCCTTCCTCCCTATCATCTCTCCCTTTCTCATCTCCTTCACCCCTTGAATCTGGTACACTAGCTGGGAGCCGCAGGCTACAGCAGATCATGAATCCAGCCGATCCCTTGGAGATCCAGGCTGACGTGCACTGGACACACATTCGTGAGAAAGGGGAGGAGGAGCAAGTGGCACCGACCTCGGAATCCTCTGCCTCTAGAGGTAACTGCTTCCAGAGCCAAGGTCCTGATGCCCCTTGGAGCACCTTCTGTCCTCGCTTCCCCTCTCGCTGCCGCAGAGGACGTTTCTGTTAGGGCACTGCCATCTGTTTGATCAAAAGTGAGAGCCAACATAACATTTCGTTTTCCTGATGTTAATTTGACCACTACCCTTGGCTTTCATTTGAGGATATGTAAAGTTCTCTATGGTAGGAGGTTGTAGGCTCTTTCTCCACTGATGCAAAATAGTAAAATGAACTCAACCTTGGAAAAACCAAGAATTTGCTTTCTTTCTCCTGTATTACTGGGCAGGGTTACTCTTTCTCCACTTGATAAAATGTTCTGGTGCTTTCCTCATGGAGTGTGTCTGGGTGTGAATGTGTGTTGGCAGGATAGGGGTAGGGGGAGCATGTATTGAACTGAAATGAAGTTTTAAAAGAGATTTATATTAAGGAGGTCTCTAAGTAGCTAGCATAATTTCCAGCTGTAGGTTTTAGGTGAGATGATCTACAGGTCATCTACAGATGATCCACAGTAGGATATAGATGAACCTTATTCAGGCTTCTTTTAAGGAATAGCAAGCAATAAAAGAAACAAGTGGAGACTGTTGAGGGATGTGGCGGCTGCCGTGTCATTCTCCATGCATTCCGACCTTGGTGTCCCCATCCTCCAAATACAGATCCTGGTATCATCAGCCTCTGTCTCTCGTTCACTTGTCGTCATGTTTCCACTCACTCCCTGTTAGGCCAGCAACCGGCAAGGCTTTGAGTGTGCAGAGGGGTGGTCCCTGCCTTCCGGGAACTTGGCCTTCAACAGGAACATTTGATCCTCCCCAGCCCCACATTTTCACCGTAGGCGAGACCAGCCTCTGTTGACTTCTTTCGCAGCAATATAAACACCCAGGAGCTCTGCGGGAGTTGAGGAGAGAGCTTGCTGACCAGGGCCGTCAGGCTGGCCTGCGAGGTGGGGATGGCTCTGCAGCCTTGAGCCAAGGTCCACCCTCCTGTGTTTTCTTTCCCCTCTCCTTGTCCTGAACGCCCATCACATAGGTCACAGCAGGACTGTGGCCCCTTGCTGGTGCCAGACGGGCCTCTGGCTTGTAACGTCATCTCAGTTTCTCTTTTGTTTTGGACTTTAGGAATGACCTCAACTCTCCCCACTGGGAATGCTTACTCCTGTGTAACTCTATATTTATCATCTGTTTTAAATTCAGTGCCTGACCTTCCCTCCATACGCCGCGCAGCAGTGCAGGCCTGGCTGGAGACGGTCTCTGGAGGTAGTCTGGTGATGTTTGTTCTCTCTCCACTCACCGTAACCACTCTCTCGGCAGCTCTGCTGGTACCTAACACTTGACTCCGGTCCCGCGCTAGTGCATGCGAGGGCGGAGGGCGGGGGCACATGCATGCCTCCCTCAGGTAGCCATCCTTGCATGGATCAGACATGCATCCTGCGCCCTTCAGGGAAGACCCAGAGGAAAGCAGTAGTGTGGACAGGACAGAGACAAGCATGTTTTATTAATAGAGATTATTTTTGTAATGGCCAAAGCTGAAGGGACATTTCTAGCACTGAGATTTAAAGTCTGTAGAAGTTAAGTTGGTTAGCAATTGGCTGTGAAACTAGAGGAATCAGCTAATATCCCACAAACCTACCAAAATATCAGCAAAGGAGACAGTCAGTACTCAAGGGCACTCATGGAAAACTTATCAGTGACGAGAGGAGAGCAGAGCATTGGTGGATGTTGTTCAGCTAAAAGTAGCAGCACAGGCTGGGGATGACCAGATGTAGCACCAGCTGGGGCTTCAGACTGGGGTGCAGGAATCTCTTTAAGTACTTAAGCCAAGAGATAACTGAGAAACCTTGGTTGTCCTTCCTAAACTTTTCTGGAGAGGTTTTTCTCAGCGAGGGGCTACCAGCATTTGGGGCAGGACGTTCTTACCATTAAAGGACATTTAACACCCTTGGCCTCTGCCTCTAAATGTCCTTAGTGCAGCTTCCTCTCCCACTCCAGTCATTAAGACAACCAAAAATGCCTCTCTACAATATCACATACCTCTTGAAGAAGGGCGGCATTGCCTGCTGGTTGAGAACCACTGTCCTAGCAGTGGCTTCTGGGGTGAGCAGGATTGGAGCTCCTGGGTCTTTACCACCAGCATCACACACAGCAGGAGAAACGGACACAAGCACAAGTCAGGAGGTCCCTTCACACCACACCGTAGCGAGAGCCGAACCTGAGGCCATTAGCGCTGTGAACAGAAACTGCTGGTCACTGTCTCCTAGTTAGTTTGTATCCCCAAAATGGTTGGACAGGCTGAAGTGTCAGGACTTCCCAGCTGGCAGCTGAAATAAACCAAAAGCTAAGTATGTCAGTGATTCCTGGCTTCCATAGTGTGTGGCAGCTTCTAGCACCCTGCACTCCATCTTAACCTGGATTTAATCCCCCAATTCCATCCCTCAAGCTGCGTCTCTTTCAACATCTGCTGCTGCTACATTGATATTTCTCGTTCGTTTTTTGATATATTTGACAATTGTTCCTTTCAAGGTACTCCCAAGAACTGTAGACTTCTTACCCTTCTGACTCTACAGCGGACATTTCTTAGTAGAAACTCTAAGTAGGAGAACCACGTGAAGGCCGATGGACCAGACTGGGGTCAGGCTAACCAGCGTAGTGTGCCTTGAACCGTGTCAGACTGGGGATTCCTACCTCCTGGTCTCCTTTGTGCTTACTTCCTGTGTACTTGCCAACAAAAGTGTAAACTTCCCCTCTCGATGTCCAGGCACTCACAGGTCATTCGAGTACGTGTCAGGCACAATGGGCCCTCTCCACAGAATGGACCCAGGTTCTGTTCCCACTGGGTTGGGGAGACCACTAAAGGAGAAAGATTCTAGGGGAGGAGAGGCACCTGTTCAGCCTTCTCAGAATTGGTGTGGTGCACCGATGAACTAACTATCCCACAGAAAGCTCAGGTTTGAGGAGGCTTTTGGTTATGCCTCAGAAGTCCCACTCCCTGGTGTATGATGAACCGGCTTCCTTGAGTGACCAACAGCAATGTCGTCACACAAACGTTTTAAACCTGTGGAAATAATCAAGTAGTTTTCCTCCAGTATTGTCCCAGCAAATGCCATCATCGTAGGAAAGCTCTTTGGCATTGCCAGCTCCATGGGCCGCTCTGGTATTTTGAAAGGAGGAATGTGACATTAACTATTTGCCAACCTAGAACTTGTTCTGGAACTCTCCCATCTTTCCCCGTAACCTGGACTGTCTAGTCCATTCCAAACCATCGTATAGTTCCTCAAAACTAGATGCGAACTGTCACTTCATTTTTAGTAAGCTGAGTGTACAAAAGGGGTGGTAAGATAAGTACACAGCTGTAGGAGTTATTAAAAAAAAAAAAAAAACACAAAAGACTTCATGTAACTACCACCTAGGTCAAGAAGTAAAACATTACCAGTGTCTTCAAAGTGCCCCTTCCCTTTCTTCCCCACCCCACCTCCAAAGGTAGTCACCTCCTTGATTTTCATTATATAGTCATGCACTGCGTCAATGTTTCGGTCTCAGTACCACGTAGCCTAGGTGTGTGGTAGGCTATACCCTCTAGGTTTGTATAAGTAGGGGAGGAAGAGGAGGAAGACATTTTCCTCTACCCTTCTAGGTTCTTCTGGCTGGTCTAAGAATTAAATTGACATGAGACATTAACAGGAGGAAAACAAACAAAAGTTTAATGCATGTAAACATGGGAGAAACCCAGGAAAACTGAGTAACTCAGCAAAATGCCTGAAGCCCTCACCTTAAACACCATTCTCCACTAAAGACGAAGATGTTGGGGATGGGGAGAGTCAGGGACTTCAAAGGGAAAGAAGGCAATTCACGGGTCGGTGAGAAGGAGCAAACGTTCGAAAAACAAGTGTTTGGCCACATAGAAACAGAAGAACACGGTGGGGAGCCCAACAAACAGGCTTTTCTAGGTTCCTCCCTGTCTACACCTATTTCATGTGATGCTAAGGTGACAGCTCACTTCCTGAGACAGGTTTTTTTATCTGAGTTCTCTTAGGCAGTTAAGGGGGAGGTAACAAGAGAAACTTGCTGAATCTTTTGTTTCTTAAAAATAATCAGCCTAAAATAACCCTCATGTGAAAGAGACACGTTTTGGGGTGGCAAATTTTGTTTCCTTTCAGTACACTCTTTGATGTTCACACAACGACGAAATTACCTAACGAGGCATTTCTCAGAACATGTCCCCATTGTTAGTGACATGTGACTGTGCTCTGGCCTCGGTGCCACACTCACTCTGCACACTCTTAAGGTGCCAAGCATGCAGATTCATGAGGCTGGACTACAAGGAGACATTGACTTTAGAGGTCTAGTTATTATGTGGCCCGTCCTCTCACATTTCGGCATGGCCTTTTAAGAAATCCATCCAGCTGTGCCACAGCTGGCTCCTTGGGCTTGGATCCTCGGGCTCTTGTGTATGCAAATCAGAGCATCACCGTTTTTCCTGAAATGAAAACCTTTAGGAATGATTTGAGGGTGGCTGTGCTTAGAACTCCAGAATAAACCCTCAGGACCCCTGACAAGTAGGTGCTGTTAGTCACAGGGATACTGGTATCTCACAGCATCCTTTAGAGCAGTGCTCGTTGCTTTCTTAATTGCTTTCTCGGACTCCAAACTGTTAGTATGAGTTCTAAGTGCAGAGGTTGGGAGCATGTGTGTGTGTGTGCGTGTTTAGGGGCTGGTTCCTCCTCAGGAGAAATGAGGTGGATTTGTGCTTTGCCTCATTTTGCAGCACTAAAGAGCTAGTCTTGAGTCCAGAAAATGAACGTTACATATCCCTTCATCCCTCTCCCTTACACTTGAAGAAGGTATTTCTCTAAATGGTCCCAGGTGAAGCTGCAACCTCTGCCCCTTGAGGTGCAGTGTGCTCAGGGATCCTGTGGGTCACTCATGCAACAGTGATTTCACCTACAAATGACACTGCGACCACTAGATTGAGCAGTGTGGTCATAAACAAATTACCTAAACTGTCTGGGCCTGTTTTCTCACTGAAAGATGGGAATTGGAAATGACCCTTCTAATTACGTTGTTATGAGGATTCATGATTTGTGGCCTGTGAAGCAGTCAACACAGTGCCTGGCACATGAGCCATTTCTGTTATTAAATTTGCAGCTGGTGCCTGCTGGGCCTGGGCCTGGAGAAGCAGCATTTCCTTCTGTCGTTCTCAAACTGAGGCTCTTACAGCAGCCACTGAAGGAGAAGGAAAGATGACTGGGCCTTAGCTGCCCTTCCCCTTCCAGTTGGTCCTGCTCGAGTCGAGACATGCTAGTCTCATGTGTTCAGGAAGGGCCCAGGCCTGCCCAGCACCCACACTGCCTTTAGAGAGATCTCCCTAAGTCTGATTGACTCTCAAGGTGACCTTGGAGTCCAAATCCAGAGACTTCAGAGTCCGTCTTCTCCGTTCTCCTCGTGGTCTTCACATTACAGCCTGGGAAAACCACTGCCGCTTTCCCACCTGCAAAGGCAGTCTGTCTGTTCGTCTGTCTTTCCTTTCCTTCCTTCCTTTGAACATTTCTGCTTTACAGTCCCATTTGATGAGAATGACCTGGAGGAAGATGTGGACTCGGAGGCGGCAGAGATAGAAGGGGAGGCAGCGGAGAATGGGGACACGGGGGACACTGGTGCTGAGCTGGATGATGGTACGGGGGACCCCAGAGCCTCCCTTCTCCACCATAGTAACCACCCTTTTCCTCACTGGGGACAGGGCCAGAGTGATCTGAACTCAGGAAAGATGACAGCAATGCACATTAAAGCAAAAGCAAGGAGCTTGGAGGAGGCAGCTGTTGGGTCCTGGTTTGTCCCCTTGTTCTGCCACTAACTTGAGTGTGTGTCACTTCAGCCACCCGTAAGCCACCATTCAACACAGCCTGTGTTTGTTAAGTTGTGGCTGAGAAATGAGCAGATTTGAGGCTTTATATGGGGCCTCTGAAAGCTAGATACAAGGAACGTGTTTTAAGGATTAGAGTCTGGTTGCTTGGCTGGGGAAAGGGCAGCAGGGACTCGGCTGGGGAAGTGAGAACAGTCCAGGCAGGACTGAGGGGCAAGCCCTCCGCTGTGGCTTGGGGTGGCAGGGCGGGAGGCCACAAAGGGAAGAAAACGCAGACGGTCAGTGCATCGTCCCAGAGGCAGGGCCTCCTGAGACAGCCACGTGTTTCTGTCTGTTGTGGCCCATTGTGTGTTATCTGGCTGTATTTAAAAAGAAGACAGAGCACCGCAGCCTTCGATGAGAACACCATGCTGCAGAGGATAATGCGCTTTTGGCTGAGGCTCTCAGAAGCTCGGGGGTGGGAGGGACCAGTGGGCAGGGCCCGGCTGAGGTGCAGAGCCAGGTCCAGATGGCAGGCGATTGTGCTGCAGCTGAAGAACTGACGGGGCTATTCTTAGAGGAAGGCAGGAGATGGAAAAGGAGCATGGCCTCACTCAAGTTCAGCGTTCCCCATTCCCTCTGCCAGATCAGCACTGGTCTGATGACGTCCCATCAGACGCCGAAACGGAGCTGCGTCTGCAGCACCGGGCAGCGGTGGTTGCCGAGCTGGAGCTGAGGGTGTCCGAAAATGAGGAGGAGCCACCACCGGCCTCACCAAGGTGCCAAGAGAGAGGTCAGTCTGTTGTTGAGGAGAAACTGCTTCCACAATTCCTGCAGAGAACTACTCGAGGATGAGAGGGGCACCGAGGACACAGGTCATCGGAGCAGAGCCGGGGCACTACACACCAGCCTCCAAATGGCAAACAGCTGGCTTGTTGTCCTCCTCCCCATCCCTGTGCACGTATCCTGCTCATGGCTTTGACCAACAGCCCCTCCTTTCCCTGTGTTATTTGGGGCTGTGAAAGGGTAGAAGGTACATCTCAAAGCTTTGGGTACAGACCATACGTGAAGAAAAGCCAACCCTTCTGACGTGAGCAGAGGTAGAATACATGGGCACTCTGGGAAAGCACGTTCTCTCTGTTCTTGCCGTCTCTGCAAGTGGCTGTTTGACACTGTGGCCACACTGCAGAGCTGGCTGGGAGAGGAGCTGTTAGTGGGAATGAAGGCTTTCCTCTTATAAATCCTGTGTCTGTTTCTTTTCAGGTCCCTCCCAACTCTCCAGCCCCACTCGGTCCCCTGAGGAACAGCCTGTTCTCTCCTCCCCAGTGCACAGCCCCAAGGCAGAGGTAAGGTTTGGGGCTCCCTGTGGGCCAGAGCTGATGGGAGCCTGAGTGGGCATATTAGTTCATCTTCATTTTAGGGCCCTTGGTGTGAACCCATTTTTTTTTTGCTTCTTGTGCTGAGCGGGGCTGTTGAAAACAGGGGTGACCTTGGGGTTCCAGCCCGGTCCTTGCTGTGGGGATGAGGCAGTCTGGGCAACATCTTCCTAACCCTGCCCTGCACCAATCCCAGACCCAAGTCATCCCACCACCATGTCACTCTTTGTGGTGTCCACATACCATGCTGTTTTATAAATAAATTTATTTTTAAATTAAAGCAACAATATTTGTGTAATCATTGATTTGGTATGACAGATGCATTTTTTTGTTAATATTATGTTAAAATGAATGTATGAGTTTTAAAATTAAAAATATTTATCCTGGTTACCAGTGGTATGTGAACCACACATTGAAGAATGCTGTGTAAAAAATGGTAACGATATGTCCTGTGGAACACGTTTTGAGAAATACTGTCTGGAGGACAGATCAAGGAGGGAGGCCAGGATTCAAGACCTGGCTCTGCCTGGCTTGGCTTTGGGATTCTAAGAAGCAAGATGAATTCGGTAATTCCATCTGTGAAATGGGGGAGCTTCACTGAGATGCTTGGATGATATGGTATGAGGATTTGTGCAGGAGTAGCTGGATCTTGGAGCTTCCCGGAAGGACAGTGTGAAATACAGACTATAATAAGTAGGTATTTCAAATCTTCTTACAGTGTTGCCCCTATGTTCGTACATCAGAGATCTTGGAAGTCTGGGGCTGATGGTGAGGGAGTGAGGGCCAAATTTATCAGTGTGCTTCTGGCCAGTGTTCATCCCAGTGGACAAAGAATACAGGATGCATTTAAGATGAACCAAACCCTGAAAGCTGAATCTGTGCGGCTCAGGAGCGTGGTTCTGAAAATTGAACAAATAGGGCAGAAAATGAGAAAGGTTCTCCTGGAATCATTCAAATGATTGCTTAAAGGACATAGAGAGGAATTTATTTCAACCAGCACAGGCCCTTTGAGAGAGAGAGCTCCCAAAGGGATCTTTGCTGACGTTAAAAGCCTGCCGTCTGAGCAGCTTCTTTCTGTCTTCCTTTTCTGCAGGGGGCCCAAAGCCCACTTGCCTCTGTGGCTGCCACAGGGAGATCACCCCAGGAGCTCCTTTTCCCTGAGCCTTTACTTCCCAGAGCAGAGCCCAGAGCAGAAGCGCCCGCTGATCAGAAAGCAGTGCCCTCTCCCATCCGATCGCAGCCGGTGGCTCTGCCAGAAGCCAGGACGCCTGCCTCCCCAGTTAGTTCGCAGTGCCTGTCGCTGTTGGCCGCCTCCACCCCCCCAACCCAGCTCCCCATTTGCTCCCAGCCTCAGCCTTCCTCTGAGGCCACCATCCCATCCCCCACCAAGTCCCCCATATGCTTCCAGCCTGTTCCAGCCAAAACATCCACCCCCTTGACCCCCCTCCCCGTGAAGAATCAAGGGGATGCCAAGGACAGGCTGGGTAGCCTTCTTGCTGTGGACGAGGCCCTGAAGCGGAATGACCTGGTGGCAGAGTTCTGGATGAAGAGCGCCGAAATCCGCCGCAGCCTTGGGCTCACGCCCGTGGATCGGAGCAAAGGGCCCGAGCCCAGCTACCCTTCACCTGCCTTTAAGCCAGTGTCCCTAAAATCCTATTCAGTTGAGAAGTCCCCTCAGGGTGAGGGGCTCCATCTTCTGAAACCTCCACCTGTTCCTAAGAGGCTGGGCCTGCCAAAGTCAGATGGTGACCAGCCCTCCCTGCCAACCCCCAAGTCCCCATCTGACAGAGAGCTGAAGAGCTCCCACGAGGAACGGAGAGACCTGTCCAGCAGCTCCGGGCTGGGCCTTCAAGGAAGCTCCTCCAACATGAAGACTCTGGGCAGCCAGAGCTTCAACACCTCAGACTCTACCATGCTCACTCCACCTTCCAGCCCACCCCCGCCCCCGCCCCCGGACGAGGAGCCCGCAACTCTTCAAAGGAAGCTGCATCAGATGTATGAGTGTAAGGAAGCCGAGCCCAAGGCCTTGGTGATGCCACTCCCCCCACCTGCTACCTTTATGCGTCCCCCCAGAGAGCCTGCCCAGCCCCCCCGGGAGGAGTTGAGGAAGTCATTTGTGGAGAGTGTGGAGGAGATCCCCTTTGCCGATGACGTGGAGGACACGTATGATGACAAGACTGAAGACTCGAGTCTGCAGGAGAAGTTCTTTACACCCCCCTCCTGCTGGTCTCACTCTGAGAAGCCCCTCCACCCACCCCTAGCCAAAGAGAATGGCAGGTTGCCTACTCAGGGGAATGGGGTCCAACCACAGAAGAGGGGGCTGCCCTTGGTCTCTCCAGAAGCCAAGGAGCTGGCTGAGGAGCGCATGCGAGCCAGGGAGAAGTCTGTCAAGAGCCAGGCATTGAGAGATGCCATGGCCAAGCAGCTGAGTAGGATGAAGGAGATGGAGATGGCGGCTGGGACCTCCAGGCCCCCAGGAGGCACTGCCCGCAAAGCCTCCACAGCGCTCTCCAAGGACAGAGAAGTCGGCCCTCAGTCTCCTAAGCGCCCGGTGCTCAGAGGCCCCGAGGAGCCCACCCTGAAGCGCGAAGCCACTAGCAAGGAGGTTCTCTCCCCTCCTTCGGACTCAGGAGGCCCAGATGGCTCAGTCACGTCATCTGAGGGCTCCAGTGGGAAGAGCAAGAAGAGATCGTCACTCTTCTCCCCCCGCAGAAACAAGAAAGAGAAGAAGTCCCAAGGGGAGGGCCGGCCCCCAGAGAGGCCCAGCCCAAGCCTCCTGGAAGAAGCAGCTGCCAAGCCCAAGTCCTTGTGGAAGTCGGTCTTCTCTGGGTACAAGAAGGGCAAGAAGAAGAAGGGCGAGGACAGGTCCTGCTCCAGCACTCCTTCCAGCAGGACCACTGTGGACTCGGGCAAGCACAGGATGTCTCCCGTCATGAGGGCAGGTGCGTCAACACCGAGGGCCCCTCACGGGACAAAGCATAATGTGTGCCCTCTCCCTCCATCCGGTTCTCCATAGTTCCCCTTCCCCACGCTGCTCCCCCGGGGTTCTCAGGAGCTCTGCTGGTGGGCCAGGGAGAAGGGAACTGAACCGTGGGTGCACAGAGCATATTCCGTTTAATGGAAGCTTGAAACCAGGTAAGAGAGCCTTGGGAGGTTTGTGCCCTTCTTAAAGTCACGTCCCCCCAAAGGAGGGCCTGATTTTGAGCAGGGTGGAGCACGGTGCTGCAGGGGGGTATGCGGCAGGCTGTCTTCAGGGCACCAGCTATTTAGTATTGGCTCTAAGCCAGGATAAGTGTCAGCATCTGACTCCCGGCTCCCCAGTATGGGAAAATAACCAATTAAACTAGAAAGACATCAAACCTCTGGCCCTCTCCCTAGGCTGCTCTTGTGAATGTAGAAATCACTACAGTACCATGGTGCTGATGGCTGGTCACCATTCTTGCTTTGCCTCTACCCCTTAGGGCTGCAGCTCGGGCGCCAGCTGAGTTTCTCGGAGGACTCTGACCTCTCCAGTGACGACATCCTGGAGAGGTCCTCCCAGAAGTCCAGGCGAGAGGTATGTAGGCCTATCGGTCGTGGGGCTTCAGAAGGGGTTAAGGGCCTTGACTCTTGTCCTCTGTTTAGTATTGGTCTTTGATGAGGTGGAGGAAAGGGAAGCAAATCTCAGGGCAGGGGTAGAGAGTGAGCATCCTCCTCTCGTATCCCAGCAGACAGCTGAATCCTGAGCCCAGCCCAGTGGTCCAAATAAGAGAGACGTGAAGGGAGTTCTCCTCTTGGGCTTTTTCAGTGAATAGCTAGGAGTTATTGCATCCATGGCAAGAGTTCCAGTGTTCAGTTCTTGTGAAGAATACAGAGACATTCCACGCCCAAAGCTTTACTGCGTCTTTAGGAAGCAGCCAAGCGTTGTCCATTCACTCTTTCGTCCTCGGAAATCCCACGTAGAGTAGCATCCGCCAGTGCCCAAAGCAAAGAAGAAGGGCCGCTCGTGCCGCAGGGTCTGGCGGAGCTGGGATGGGGGCTCAGGGCTGGCACAGCAGATGAAGCCTGAGCCCCTGAGAAACATCCCTGTCACCCCCTGCTTTGTACATTTGTGGAGTAGAGAGGATTTTTTGCTATTAAGGAACTATTCTGGAAAACTGACCTGGGTCCTGTGCCATGTAGGACGTTGTGGAGGTCTGACCTGCCCCCCGCATGCGAGACGATGTGGCCGCTCAGCTCTCCTGAGAGGAGTTCTCGGTGAGGAGGCTCCTTCCCCACCAGCCTCTCCTGGGTGTTTGTTCGCTTGTAGCTTTGTCGAGATACAGTGAAGTTGGAGGAGAGAGAGGGATTAGGGAAGGTTCAAATGGGTCGTCTGTGTCACAGAGCCAGTGATGAGGTAGGGACTACAGTCCAGTGAGGCCTGGGAGCTCGCAGGGATGGGTGAGCTCGGTGGGAGACTTCCTATCCCATCCCCATTGTCTAGCCCTGGGGCGCACACGCACCTCCCGTCCAAGGTGACAGCCCAGCTGCCTTCAGCTCCTTTTTTGGAATGAAAACTTTTCGCAGAACATCATGCACCTTCTTATAAGGCTTCCCAAGGCCTGGACTGAGTCTGCCCTCTCCACTGACTTCGGGGGGGCCATGGCGGTCTGAGCACTGCACATGCCTGTTCAGTAGAGATGACTTTGGCAGCCTATTTCCACTTCCCTCCTCCTGGTAATAACTTGGCAAACTGGAGGAAACCCATCTTTTTAGTTCTCATTTCGTTCTTGATTTGTCTGTCTCCCTCGGCCATGCCAGCTCTTTCTCTCTCCACTCTCCTAGAAGGACACCTAGACAGACCTCTTGTCCCACCCCACCCGTCTGCACAGCTAGGCTCCCATGTGCTAGCCAAGCCAGTGCTGAGTTAAGGTTAGGGTCCTGTGTGCTCCTCGCAGGGACCCAGCTTCATGTGCTCCATCAAGTGCTCCCTGTGGAGCCTGCCCAGGCGGTAACGTCGGTACTGAACTGAGAATTGCTTCTGGATATGTGTGTGGGTCCCCGGTGCCAGCATCGGGGACTGGCACGGCCCAAGGGGGTCCTCAGGGGTCTGAGAAGGAGAATGTTGTCCAAGGTTCACTTTTTCTCCATGCAGACATGCAGACGTGCAGCCAATTCATCTCGTGTTGGTCAGAAACTTCCATCTGTGGTCGTTTTTGTGGTCAGGTCTCTCCACTGTTTTTCTATTAATTAATGAAACATCCTGGCAAAATTCTGAGTGGCAGGCTGCCCAAGTTGACTATGCCAAAGCCATGGTCTTGGTAATATGGCTCACTGACCACAGGCTCTCCCAGGGCCTCGTAGGCCTGGGGCTCACCCCCCCGTCTACGTGAACAACAAGTCATGGGCCCACTCCTAGAATCCCAGAACCAGAGACCTTGGGGACCTCATACTCCATGTGCGCCCACGGAGGCAGAGCCTTTCGCTGGAGGCCGTGTAGGGAATGCCAAGGGCAAAGCCGTGCCTACGACCTGCTGCCTGACCCTGCCGTGGTTTGGGGTCTGGCTGAGTGAGAGCGAGGCACCATGTGTTTCCAAGACATGGAGGGACTGGCCCCATGGCATAGTGGTTAAGTGGGCGCGCTCCGCTGCTGGTGGCCTGGGTTCGGATCCCAGGCGTGCACCAATGCACCGCTTGTCAGGTCATGCTGTGGCGGCATCGCCATATAAAGTAGAGGAAGATGGGCACAGATGTTAACCCAGAGCCAGTCTTCCTCAGCAAAAAAAGAGGAGGATTGGCATGAATGTTAGCTCAGGGCTTATCTTCCTCAAAAAAAAAAGACATGGACGCTAAGGCAGGAAAACAGACCAAAACAAAAACAGCCATGAAGGACACTTTGGAACAATTAAGGAACCTTGGTCATGGAGAGTATAATGTGCATAGACATGCAACTTCATCACATTAATGCTAAGTACCTTGTAAGCAATAAAGGTACTGTAGTCATGTAGGAAAACGTCTCTGTTCTTAGCAAGTACATGCTAAAATCTGGGAGGATGATGGATCATGATGTGTACCAATGATTCAGAAAGAAATGATTATATACATCAAACTGTGGCAAAATGCTAACATTTAGCAAATCTCGGTGAATGATACACAGGTATTCATTGTCCTCCTCTTTCAACTTTTCTGTAGGTTTGAAAATTTTCAGAGTAAGAAGTGAGGGGAGTGGGGGCCCCAGAAGTGGGTTTGAATTGACTCAGGAGGGAGTGTCTTGCTGGCTGTGCCTGGACCCCGACAGCGGGAGCCGGCTGGGGCAGTACCATTGGGGAGATGGTTCCTCTTGTGTCATAGACCCATCTGTGAGTCAGACGTCTATAAAACAAGTGCCTGAGTTTTGTTTCATAAAAAAAAAAAAAGGGGCCGGCCCTGTGGCTGAGCGGTTAAATGCGCACGCTCCGCTACTGGCAGCCCGGGATCGGATCCCGGGCGTGTACCGATGCACCGCTTCTCCAGCCATGCTGAGGCCGTGTCCCACATACAGCAACCAGAAAGATGTGCAACTATGACATACAACTATCTACTGGGGCTTTGGGGGGGAAAAAAAAAAGGAGGATTGGCAATAGATGTTAGCTCAGAGCCAGTCCTCCTCAGCAAAAAAGAGCAGGATTAGCACGGATGTTAGCTCAGGGCTGATCTTCCCCACAAAAAAAAAAAAAAAAAAAGCAGGGGCCGGCCCAGTGGCACAGCAGTTAAGTTTGCGTACTCCGCTTTGGCGGCCCAGGGTTTGCAGGTTCGAATCCTGGGTGCGGACCTACACACCGCTCATCAAGCCATGCTGTGGCAGCATCTTGCATACAAAGTAGAGGAAGATGGGCACGGGTGTTAACTCAGGGCCAGTCTTCCTCAGCAAAAAGAGGAAGATTGGCAACAGATGTTAGACCAGGGCCAGACTTCCTCACAAAAAAAACACTAAAAATCACTTATTTTTACTTAAAATGTTTATGTAGAAAAATTAAGATAGTACAGACTTTAAAAAAAGAAATCACCTGTAGCCCTACCAACAAGATATAACTCGTGTTTACCTCTTTGCCTTGATCTGGCTCGACGTGGCTGAACTTGACCTCTGTGGCCCAGTGGAGGGCATGTGCGCTGGCGCTCTGGTAGGCCCCCCTCCCCTAGCAGCAGAAGCACCGGCTCTTAGGCTGGCCTCATTCTTGGCGCACCACGCTCTGTCGTGACTTCACTCCTCTGCTCGGCCTCTCCCAAGTCAGTACCCTGCCCCAGAAATCGGGAAATGACTGCCCCACCCTTCACTTCTTACATGGGCCACAGGCACAGATGTTGAGGGCAGTTCCTTAGGTTGTCATTACGTAGTTCCTGTGGAGGTTTTCACATGCTGCTTGGGGGATCGTCTGGTCTTCTTTTTTTTAACTGATTTGTTCTGATAATGAATTCTTCCTCTCACTCTGGTTTGTGGGAGAGATGAGTCAGTCTGAGGCAGGATCTACGTGTTCAGAGTGAAATGTTCTGCTGGGAGGAGCACTCAGTCTTCTCTGGGCCAGTGTGCTCTTGAAATGTAGGCCTCACTGGGCTGGTCCCCACGGAAGCACAGGGAAGCAGCAAGGACAGCAGGGGATTGCAGTCCATCCTGAAGCTCTCAGAATCTCCCCATCCGAGGGCCCCCAGATCCCTGTCGCTTCCTCCCTCGCTCCATTATTGCCTGTTAGCCATTTAATGGGCTGGTGGGAGGACTGGAAGAGCACAGGTCCCCAACCGTGGCTGTCTGAGCATATCTGCTCAAGGTTTCGTGGAGTGAGAAGAGGTCACGATTACTGCCTGAAATATTTTTGATAAATATCAGTTATCTATGCTATTTCAGGTCCCTTTCACTGTGTATAATCAAGAAATGGCCCCTGCCCCCTGTCCCAGCATTGCTGGGTGGCCCACTAGGAGCCCACCTGGCCCTGTTCAGGAGCGCGGCCAGGAGAGGGCCTTTTGGAGGGAACGTGAGGGTTGATACTCAGTTTGCTCTGTGTCTTTGTCTCTGGTAACAGGAATCTCCTGCCAGTGTCCCCTAGCCCAGTACCCCGTAGCATTCAGCTGGAAGAAGGGGTCTGCATTTCCACAAGCGAATGGGTTACTAAAGGAGAAATAGCATCCCTAGCCATATATTTAAAACAGTTTTAATTTATACCTAAGGGAGATTGAGAAAAGAAAAGAGAATATTTGGGGCATAGTGAGGAAGAAGCTGCCTTCTCAGTAGAAAGTGAGCCCAGGCCTTGTTCAATACCAGGATTCACTAAGGTGCTGCTCCTAGAACCTTACCCTCAGGTTCTGCACTTACAGTCCTGTGAAACATCGTGAAAAATAATCGTGTGTTTTAGTCTTGTGTGTTTGTTTTAAACTTCTAACTGATTTCGCTCCATTTCTGTGTTCTATTTTTAATTTTTTAATTGTTATCATCATTACCATTCTGTTTTGTTTTCCGTTGCCATCCCCTTAAAAGTCGATTTCTGTGCCACACGCCTTGGCATTCAGGAGATCACATGCATCAAAGGTAGTGTCTCATCCCATTGGCTGGTCATGTTGCATGCACTTCTGTGATTAACCACCAGAGCAACCCCCAGCCCTGGCCCTCCAGCCACACCCTCACTAACTGTGTTCACACATGCATGGAGCGGTGGCAGCAGAACTCTCTTTAGCTGCGTCATGACCTAGGAGGAGGGGGAGATGCCTTGCTCTTCCCTGGCTGGAGTGCATGTGGTAATTTTCATCCAGGTGCCTGGGGGGGACAGGGCTGCCCCTTTGGGACTGGGCACTGCAGAAATGGGGAGTGCCTGAGCCCTCAGCTCTGTGATCTGCAGGGTGAAATGCTTAGGACACTAGAACACCCCTGACCTGTTCAGTTGGCCCTCCACCATCACTCAAACTCTGGAATAAAAATTACTAGGAAAAAAAAAAGGCTATTAGAATATATTCCTGAGTTGAATTTGGAAGTCTGCCTTTTTTATTTTCTCAGAGGCAATGGAGAGGGTCTTAGGAATAGAGGCAGACCCCCAGCGTTTGCCTCTCAGTGCTTGCCCAGTGTTTATTCAGGGCATCTGACCCTCCCTGGAGCCCATCATGCCCACATTTGCAGGTGGAATTGTGCTGGATTTGGTCAGTCGCCTTCTCGGTTCTTGATGGCACTGGCTGAAACAGCCCTGCCGGACTGCCTCCTCCCTTCGTCTCAGGGTCTGACTGTTCCCTCTGTGCAAACCTCAGAGGCAGGTCAGGTTCACCCTCAGACTTCCTTCTTCAAACTATCTTGGTTGGTTTGGGGTTCACCAGACTTAGAATAGAAGCATCCCTCTTTTCTCTACTTCAGATGTTACTTCTTAAAAGAACTGTATAAATATCACTCATCTGAAGAAAGTTGGCTGTTGATACCAAACAAGAAAATAAAAGGGCCCTGATTTTTCTCTTTTTCCTTTCCCTGCACACCTCCTAGAAGCAGGAGGCTTGGTGAACATTTTACTAATACTTTTACCCTCACAGAGTCTTAAAAAGAACAGACAGCCCTATGTGGGAAACAGGTGACCTCAATGATAAAGGAGTGTATGTCCCTTTGTCCTTCTGACATCCTGTCAGTCCCCACTCAGCCTCCTGTCCCTGTCTCAGCAGGGAGGCGTCTCACTTGTAGACCTGCTTCAGCAGGGGCGAGTGCCCCACAGCCTCTGGCTGAGTCTGCACACACCTCGTGCCTCCATCCGCCCTGTGGGCACTCTGCAGATGGGCAGCTCCAGCCTGGGGATAGTCCTCTCCGCGCCCCTGCCAACCAGCGTCCTGTCTAGGCCTGCGTGCCCCTGATTGAGGAATTCTCTCGTTCCCTCCAGCCAAGAACCTACACAGAGGAGGAACTGAACGCCAAGCTGACCCGGCGTGTGCAGAAGGCGGCTCGAAGACAGGCCAAGCAAGAGGAGCTGAAGCGGCTGCACCGAGCCCAGGTGAGATGGCCGCTGGGGGAGACCCCAGGCAGTGTCCTCCTCTGCAGCCAGCCAGTCCCCTTCTACCACAAGGGAGGGTGCAGAGGGCAGAGCAGAGGTAAACGGGTGTCCCCATAATCGGAGAGGACAGCCCTGAAGTCTCAGGCCACAGGCCTCTGGCTTGATGTAACTGTGGAGGCCTTGATTTTGTGGAGTTATTCATGGAAAGGGCAGAGCCAAGCTCTGAGTTTCCTGAATTCCTTGATCTGGAGTAACCATTGTAAAGTCAGCTAGTTCCATTGTAGGAGCTGTTACCAAGGGGCAGTCTGTGACCTGAGCCTCTGATGGGCCCAGAACTTAGAGGTCAGAGCTGTCCTCCAGTCATTAGCCTGTCGCCAGGCCTCACAGATCCTAGACCAGTCTAGACTTTTATTTTTAACAAAAAACAATTTCTTTATAGAAAGTGTTAATAGATACCTAAATACAATATGGTTTTTTAAATGAAATCATATGTATATAGTTGTATTCATAAAGTTGTATTCATATGCTAATCAAAAGCTATACAACGAGAAACGTTAACAGCAAATCCAAATACAAATGAGGATATTCCCCTGAATTCGGTGTTTCATCAAGCATCAGAACCCACCTGTCTTTTAGTCCTTTTCTTGTACATTATATTCTGATCTCCATTTTCTGCATCTGATGGGCTCCCTGGATTTTATCCCTTTCCCGTGTGCCGTTCTCCGCAGATACACATCACTGGCTGCCGCTTTGGGGTTGAACGTCCCTTTGGGTTTCTGTCATTAGTCCCCACGTAGCACGGAGAAACCTCTCACTACACATGTCCGGATTCCGGCTTGTGGCTCCATTCTAGACTTTTTTTCTTTAATTTCTTGTCTTGTAGAGACAGCATTTCCACAGTTCTCTCCGAGAATCCCTGCTCGTGTTTTCGCACCCTTGCCATCAGAAAGGTCTTAGGTTAGCGTGCTTGAATCCTTCCTGTGGGAGTTTCTCTCCACTTGCTTTCTTTGAACTGCCCTGGAGAGGGCCTGGTCCCTCCTTTGACGCGCCCCCATGCACCGCATGCTGGGGTGGGGGGGGTCTGCACAGCTAACAAGTCCTGGGGGTTCATTGCAGGTGGTCCATACACCGCACTCTGGGCCTAACGCCCGTTGACTACAGCCTTTGTGACTTGTGACCTGATCTGTCTTTTTCCTCTGTGTGTCAGTGCAGTTCAGTTGTCCTCCTGGAAGCTGGGTGCCTACACTGTCTTGTTTTCCCGTAGATCATCCAGCGGCAGCTGGAACAAGTGGAGGAGAAGCAAAGGCAGCTGGAGGAAAGAGGGGTCGCTGTGGAGAAGGCACTCCGCGGTGAGGCAGGTACTGTCTGAGTTTCCTTTGCAAGGAGGTTGTTCCTAAAGGATAAGCCCCCCACCCCCCATGGTAGGGTGGTTGGCATCACCTCATCTGGAGTTCAGCTTTTCCAGTAGGATTCTCTGGGTGCCTATATCACTGAGATTTGGGACTTCCTGTTAAGAAAGGAAAAGAAAAGCTCCTCTGTTGGGACTGCCCCAGGCCCAGACCTGGTCCTCTGCCCTGTCTTAGGGCTTGCCATCACCCTGTAGGATGAAATCTCAGTCCTCTTCACCTGCTGATGGCAAGCATTAGGCCTCGTCATCCTTTCCCACCCCACCATCCTCTCTAGAAGAAAATAACTGGGAATGAGAGAGACTGCACCACAAGGAACCATCACAGAACTGCACAAGCAGGGCCCCCGGCCTGCTCCCCACGTGCCGCCTCCTGTCTAGCTTTCCTGGCTCCTCTCCTGCCCGAGCTGCACAGATCACGTGAGGACACATGCCCCGCAGAGCCCTCACCACCTCCCGTGGGCAGAGCATACAGGTTTCCCAGTGTGAACCCAGGCTCTGTTCCCTGGAGGCCGTCACTCAGGGCAGGGTGGAGAAGCTCAGAGACCATGGAGAGCTGGCACGCGCAGACACAGGGAGATGGCTGTGTGGGCCATGCGCCAGGCGACTGCCATCCTGGGGAAGAGCTCTGGGTAAAGTGCAGCCACACCCACTGTTCACCGAGGAGCCTGTGGGGTGGGTCCAGCAACGTTGGGCAGTGAAAGCAAGGAATTACCTGAGTCATCCCTGGTCCTAAGGGCCTGGGAAGGCTTTTTGGTTCAGGACCTTGAAACCATGGGCCAGCCCCAACTGTAGCCCCAGCTTGGGCCCAGAGTGACTGAAGTCTGCTTTCTCAAGAGTTCCAGAGTCTTGGTCCAGTCTCTGGATGGGGAAACCTCCATCTCATTGTAGAGAGCACGTCATCCAGGTTCAACATGCACATTGTGAGGCTGGGGATGAAGAATGACATGACCTGGTTTTGCAGTAACCCCTTATTACTTCCTTGTTCTGGTGTGGCAGAGGGGAGGGGATGGTACATCTCCTGGCAGGCAGGCTGTCTGTAAACTGAAGAACCAGTCAGAGGCAGCCAGGAATGGGCCAGTTGCTGCCATCTGATCTTGCTGGAAAATGATCAGACTTCATGGTATGTGCCTGGAGTCAAGATGAATTCCTGGGGTTCTGTAGGACTCAAGTCCACTTTGAGGAAGTTGAGGGTCAGGCATAGAAGTAGGTCTCCTGTCCAGGCCCTTCAAGGCCTAGAAATTGCAATTTAACAGTTGACTCAGTGATGACTTTCAGGTGAAGAAATGGGGTGAGGGAGAAAGATGAGGATGTGATGTTCTTGGTTTTGTGCCTCACCTGATGCTGGATTTACTGCTTGAAGCCCACACCAGCAAATGAAATGCAAAAACTTAAAACACTGAGCAGCCAATAGGCCAGAAGCCTGGGATGTGTGACTGCGAGGCGAGCACTGGCCCCTGTGTCCAGGAGTGGACATTCTAGTCACCTAAAAGGGTCCCTGGGCTTCCAAATGAAGCCGTGGCTGTCCTCCACCATCCTTGCTTTTGCTCCCTGCCCTGCGTGCTCTGACTTGGCCTCCTCAGTTAGGCCTGACCACCTGGAGGAAGCTAGCCCGAACCCACCCGAGATGCCCTGCACCCTGCTGCGAGACTCACAGGGCCCTGCCCTTGTTGCTTAATCTGCTTACAGAAGATTATCAGAAGGGAGCCTGGGCCCACCACCATTCCTTCTTACCCTTCCCCACAAATTCCTTCTGTCGAGATGGAGAATGAGGGGATCTCTCATTACAGAGTAACTCAGCAGGCATGTGCACCTGCATTTTATAGTGAGTGACAGTGCTCGAGAAGATGGCTGCCCCTCCTGCGCAGGGTTCTGAGGTTTGGGGGGCCGTCACCAGCGTTGGGGGGTTCTGTAAAGCACTCCTGTGCCTGTCGGCTGCCATGCAGGCTAAGTCCATGACAGCGCTTCAGCGCTTCTGTGACAGGCCACGTTATTCCAGCTGCTGACTGCCAAGGGGCCAGAAAAAGATAGACCACTGAAGATTGGCATAGGATTTTGCCAAAATTCTTTCTGGTTGTTTAGATAACTACCTTTTCATAAACATATACAACCAGAATTTCATCGAAGTCAGTCATTTTCAGATTTGTTTCTTAGCAGCAGAACTCTTTTTACAAGCCAAATTATAAACTTAAAATCAAAAAGAATTACTCTAAGATGTTAATAAACACAGATTTGAAAATACAGGTTATTGTAGAAAGCTGCAAGTGTTAGTAAGCCTCAGCACCTAGTGCATCCCTGGGGCACAGTGTGGAAATGTCCTGTGACACAGACACAGCTGCTGTAAATAGGAACAGGTGTTTTACCAGCTCACCTGGCAATCTCAGGATAGATGTAATTTAAATGATCTAGATGCTGGAAGCTTAAAGTGGAGCAGTAGGCATTGTGTGAACAGTGAATCATCACACAAACAAACCTTGAACAGCAGTTCATCTTCCTTATAAAGGATGCATCTCAGGTGAACGCTCCCAAGCATGAGCAAACACAGACACCACCTGTGCTGTGCCCTCACGGCGCGAGTGTTACCATGGCAAGCACGCGCTGCGATGGGAGCTGCTCTGAGGGGCTGGGCCCGCTGCGTCATGGCTCTCCCAGGACACTCCCCTGCACAGCTGTACAGGAGTGCTCTACTTGCAGGCCAAAATTTAAGTAAATAAATAACATTTCCTCTTCCCTAACACATCTACAGGGAGTTAGGTACTTGCCCACAGAGGGCAGAGGAAACTTCCTGAGGGCCTCACAAAAGCACATTTACCTGATGGCACAAATTAATGTGTTGATGGTCTTCAATGGGTTAAAAGTTGGCATATCAAACATGTGAGCATGTTGTGTCTTATTTAAGTTTTTTAAATGAGTTAAAAGTATTTGTGAATCAGGTATCTGGGAGACCCCAGGAATACCACTTGAAGAATCCTAGGGTTCCACAGAACAGTTTGAAAACCACCATTCTAGTCCAAACTCTTCTAAGCAAGGCTTGAGCAGAATGCTTCTACCCAAATGCACGTCTGTTCTGTGTCTAAAGAAAGGCTTTGGTGGCTCTGTTGGGAGATTTCCCCATAATGCATTTGAGGAGTTCTCAGGATGTTGTAGCTCCTACCATAAGACTGTATTTCCAAGTATATTATTTTCCTTTTCTTACTTTAAGCATATCACTTCCAAGGCTCGCCAGTTGTCTGAAATCCCAGTGGCCTTGTTCCTACTTGGCAGAGATCATCTTTGAGGCTAGATTGTGCACACTGGCTACTCCTTTCTCTCCTGCTTCTGCTTTCCATTCCTCTTGTTAGTCTCGTTGCTCCTGGCTGAACTCTTAAGAAGGTAATCTCAGTTGAGCATGATAGTCTGGAGCCTTCCAGCAATGCTAGCCAGCCCCTTCCTGAGAGCGTGCAGCTGGCCAAACCTGCCGTTCTGTCTCACTTGATGGGCTCAAGCTTCCATCGCTCTCTGAAAGGGTCTGACTGTTAGCCAAGCTGCCCTTCCAGAGAAGAGATCTGATATGGACCTGCCACCCCGTTGATCTCAACTTGTCCACGGCTCATGTATATCCAGACTGCGTGGGTTAGGTTCACGGCCTTTGAGCCCAGGGCAAAACAGACTCATGTGGTTTCTGGTCAGGAGCACCAGGGAAGCCCTTTCTGTTTTTGGAATCCTGGTTCAATCTTAAACTACTGGATCAGCCTTGAGCATGAGTTGAAAAACCATTCCAGGATTACATTCTGCTTTCTGGTGTGTCCATTCTTGAAGGGGGAACCCTCGTGTGGAACACAGGCTGCATTCAGAATCAGCATTCACGTTATGAGATTTGGAGGAAAAGGGTAACAAGTAGCAGCTGGCTTTTGTTGTGCTCTGCATTTGTTTATGATTCTGGAAAGATGAGGACCGCCTGCCCAAGCCCAGCCCTCGGCAGTGCCCAGCTCTGCATCCCAGCATGGGAAGAACATAACATCCTTGCTGGACAGCCACCGGAGCTGAAAGGCCAGCAGACTTCCAAGAACTTTAGGGCAGATAGTCACAGCTCATGCCCTGCTGTTAAAGAGAAGGCTGGCTGAAGTTGGGGGCCTAAACTCAGAAGAAACAGGATCTCCCTCCTCTCAAACCCATCAGCAAAAGTGGTTCTGCGAGGAGTTTGATGTTCTCTCCAGTGGGGCCCCACGTATGAATTCTTGGGAGAGCTCTGCTTTCCCGCCTGAGGACTGGGGTCCCTGCAGAGCCTGTTAGGATGTCCGCCTCCTGCCTTCAGCCCCTGAGCCTGGGGCTTCTGATATCCAGTAACCAAGGAAGTAAGTAGCCCCTGATCTGCTCTTGAGTTTTTTAAAATCTTCTTAGATAAGGTTGGGTCCCAGCAAGGTCAGGATTCCCAACGAACCCAAGGCCTTCCATCCTGAATGACTGGAGGTGTAAATAAGAGTCACATTGTGATTGGCTATTAACTCGATCACCTGTGGTTTTTAGCAAACACCCCTCTCTCCCCACCAGGAAGTATGTGGCTCAGCATGTGTATATGTGGAATGCACTGCAGGGAGATGCATGCTTTCCAGCTGTTCCTCTTGGCCTTCTTGCTGTATCTCTGTGTGTTTCTTATGCTTCATGTCATTGATTGTTTGGGGTATGGGGGGACAGGAGGGTTATCCGCTCCAATAACTCTCTCTTCACCAATTCCTTGTAGACTATTGGGGAGAGTCTTATTACAGTGACCTCATCGACTTGCATCTGGGTGGTATGTATAGCAGCATCTGTTGCTGCCACTAACCCTGCTGACACCCTCTCCCTGCCTGCTCTCCCCAGTCCCTGCTCACAAACAACAAGAAGAAATCAATCTGATAACCAAATAGCAAAAGCACAGGCCCTTTTCCAGCTCGTAATGGAGCAGCATGCAGATCCTCCCACTGCCCATATATA